ATACCTTCCAAATTTGGGTATTACATCACGACTTGTATAAATCAAATCGTCGCACAATATTAAATATTCGTTAATAAATAACGACATGAAAAATCGATAACATATTTATTTCAGCTAAATTAGTTCATTTTCAGCCACATCAGCCTCTTTAGATCAGATCACATGATCAAATGTTAACTTTGCTCCATATAAACTTTTGCCTGTCAAAATGTCCATGATCTATTAATTATGCATGAGATAATCACTCTTCAGTTTGGCCATTTTACAAATTACGTAGGAACACATTTTTGGAACACGCAGGTATATTTGGTCGTAAGCAACTCGAGTCAATTACTAATGAAATAATCAAAACCGTTAATGATTATCGCATCTGATTATCTATTCGTTGATACAAGGAAGCTTGCTTTTCTTATTCAGAAGACTCTGAATCAAATCCAGAGATTATTCATGATGTCTTGTTCCGTACCGGTGTTACCCAGGAGGTACAGGTCTGCGACGTATTATCTTAATTTCATTATCTTTTATTGACATCAGTTATATAGGGAATAGAAACATACACCCCTCGGTTGCTGATTTACGATTTGAAAGGTTGAATATATTCACACAATTTTCCACCACGATGCGACTTATATAAGTATTATTACCAACTTGTATTATAAAATATAGGGGGGTTAGGATCATTGAATAAGTTCAGATTATACGAGGAGGAAATACCAGATACACAGTCATCGAATCAATACGGCACATGGTAGGCGAAGGCATCGTCAGCAATTTTTTCACAAAACCTTGATAATTATCCGAGTCTCTCTAGGGATGGAAGGACAGAAACGTATGCACAAGAACCATACGAGCAGAATGATTACCTGAGATCACTAGAAGAAGAGGTATTCACATTGCTATTTTTACTGCATTAACCATATTTTCCCTAATCATAATTTTTGTAATTCAACCAGGTAGAAACAAGCAGCCGCGCACAAATGGATTTGGACATACAGGAAGAAGATGTTGATTATCACTTGGACGAAATGGTAACAACCTGGTCTGACTATAACAAGATGTATTATCACCCAAAGAGCATCAATCAGATAAACCAATATCAATTGGACGAATTCATACCATTCGATGTATTCACTTACGGACGAAATGCATTTGATGCACACGAAAAGGTAAAGTTAAAAGAGTATAAGTAAATTCAAGACAAGTATACTGATCTGATCTGTTCTGTCTTGTTTAGGAAACAGAATCATTTGACCAAAATTTTAGATTTTTTGCCGAAGAATGTGATGGTATTCAGGTAGATAGACATATTATATATGGGGATAATATCGATGTATGGCTAATAAATATTTAAATCTACGATAGGGCTTTCATGTCATGACGGATATAATCAATGGTTTTGGCGGATTCACAAGCGGTTTTATTGAAACATTGCGAGACGAGTATCCCAAAAAGGCAATTCTAATCTACGGAAATACAAACAGTCTTGATTTGGCGACTGCTAATCAAGTATGTCGGTCTACGAACAAATTAGTGAAAGATAAGAAAGACCAGAGACAACATGTTTGACCGCCGCTCTATTTATACCTTATGATCAGGAAAGGAAATATAACAAACAGATGTTAAACGCTATTTTCAGTACGGTCTACTTGTCTCAGATGTCGTCTTTGTATGTTCCTTTAAGTACACCGCGGCCCTCTACTTCAACAAATCAGTCTTGGATGAAATACTTAAAACCTAATGTAAGTAAAAGTGATCAATATATTAAATTTGCCGCCATCAAACTAACAGGGATAATCGTTTTACAATTCGCCACAAAATAGCTACTGCTTCCGTATCATACCAGCGCACTATTATCATCAGCCATCGAAACTACATGTCTTCCATTCCGGTAAAAATTCAATACTACAACCTTCTCATTCTACCAAAGCCGCCCGCGTCATCACTCACTCACTCACTTTGCTACTTTCAGGACGCGTTCCAACCCTACAACTATGCTGAATTTGCTGGATCAACTGAATTGGCGTGGAGGTACAAAAATCGCCTCGCTAGGAGTCGCGTTTCCCCTACCACTGTCCATATACGGCGACGTTGACCTGAGCATACCGGCAAATAATGGAAAAGATAGTTGCATCAAGTATTTCAGTGCTATGGAAGATAATAACCACATGGTATGGAATGGGAGAATCGAGTAGATTTCTAGTGACGAAGCGTTCTCATACTAGTTTTTAATTTAAAGAACTTGGAGCCTATGTTCTCACAATCGGTGGTCATGAGAGGATTCCCTGAAGCATTTGTGCCTGTATCCAAGACAGTGTAAGTATAGTGTAATCTATGACATGTTGCCGGTCAGGTACTAACAATCACCAATTTTCGTGTAGATGTGAGAAACCACGCGACGTCAAGAACAAACTCTTTGACAAATTCAATTCATTGCGCTGTGTGAATACAACAAAGTAAGCGACAAATTTAAACATTAACCCGAAAAAAACACTATTCATTACTCACTCAACATTTTGGCTTTTTTAGCTTTGACGTTAAACCCGCCTCTCCAATACCACCATCATTTCCACAAATGTTCAAGTCTCTTACTGTTGACGGATTTACAAACATATCGGGGTATGACATCAAATTGCATTTCGCTCGTACGCCTTGTTGATGGTTCCCCCTTACATAATAATAATCCTCTTTTTTTTTTTTTTTTTTTTGAAGCGAGCATGCCCAAAGAAAAGTAAAATCGGTTCCCATGCTTTCTCATCTTACAGTCTCATATCAACCTCGACACCTGTTGAAGCAATACGTAAATGTCTTGGAAAGATTGAATTTCAGACTATTTCCCGAATATGCGGAAGGCACACATGGGCTGACAATGGAAGATTTTTTAGAAGTTAAAGAATCGATATTGGAGCTACAAGATGTTTATACCGAGGACTAAATCAGGTATTTGTCAAACACACCAGTTCATTCTATGCGTGGGAAACTTTTCCCAGGATACAATTTATTAAAGAATAGTTTTTTTGTTTGTTTGTGTTTTTTGATCTTAATGAAAATGCTCAAGTCTAATAAGTAAATATAGGATGTATAATAAATCTATCGTCCAACGTCAAGTTATATATTTAAATTACTATAATTTAACTCTCACTTTCACCCTTGCAACTCGTATGATCTTGTTCTTCATTGCCTTTCATGAGCAACTTATTAATTTTATCCAACTCGCCTAATGCAAGTTGATTTGCATGATCGAGCGTGAGTGCCTTTTCCAGGTCAGCTCGAGCCAAACCATACTCTCCCATTGCTCTGTATGTGGCACCTCGCTCGCATAATCCAAACACACTTTCTGGCTCGACTTGTAATGCCTTGTCGAGATCCCTCAGAGCCTCCTCATAATGCTCAAGTATGCCATATATGCCTCCTCGATGAATTAACGCCTCATTTTGATACCGAACATCAAAATCATCTTCCGGTTCGTATTGAAGCGCTTGATTAAAATTGCTCAGAGCTTTATCGTATTTTTCAAGCGACCTGTACACTGCTCCACGAGCAACAAGCGGAAACCAATGTTCATTCTGTACTATTAAAGCCTTATCAAGATCCTGCAGAGCCTTTTGATAACTGCCAAGAGCGTGGTTTACTTGCGCACGATAACATAGAGCCCATACATGGTTAGGCTCGAGGTTGACTGCCTTGTCGAGGTCTAGTAGTGCTTCCTCGTATCTATGTAGCAATCGATAGACATTACCTCGACAACGCAGAGTAAAGCTGTTATCGGATTCGAGCGCAATGGCATCGTTAAGGTCAGCCAACGCTTTTTCGTATTCTTCCAGCATTTGGTATACTTGAGCTCGACTGTTTAGCGCAAACGCGTCGTCTGGTTCTGCTTCTATTGCTTTGCACAAATCGGCCAAGGCTTCTTCATATCGTCCTTGCATTCTATGTACATTTCCTCTTATTCTCAGAGCAAACGCATTATCCGGTTCTAATTCTAGAGCTTTCGTTAGATCTTTGAGCGATTCTCCATAAAGTCCCATCATCCTGTAGGCTGCTCCTCTTATCCTTAATGCGAATGTATTATTCGACTCAAGTTTTAGTGCTTGATTGAGATTTGCCAGCGCTTCGTCGTATCTCCCTAAAATACGATATACTTCTCCTCTATTTCCAAGGGCGAACGGATCGTCTGGTTGTAGTCGTAATGCCTTGTCCAAATCACCCAATGCATCTTCATAGTATCCCATCATTCGAAACACTTCCCCTCTATTCTTTAATGCAAGTGGATTGTCTGGTTCAATCTCGAGAGCCTTGTCCAAATCAGTCAACGCTTCATCAAATCTCTTTAACGATCTGTATATCTCGCTCCTGTTTCCCAGTGCAAACACGTTTTCAGGATCCTGTCTCAAAGCCCAGTCAAGATCGACAAGCGCCTCTTCATATTTGTTCAACACTCTAAACACTTCTCCTCTACTTGCTCTAGCAGATGTGTCATTCGGTTCGAGTTCGAGAGCCTTGTTTAAATCGACGAGAGCATCTTCGAATCTGTTCAACATGTGGTAAACACGACTGCGAGTACGAAGAGCAAAACCATTGGCAGGTTTTATTTCTAGAGCAGTGTCCAGATCTGCAAGTGCATCCTCGTAGCATTCTAGCATGTAATATACTCTGCCGCGTGTGCTGAGCGCAAAGGTATCGTCAGGCTTGAGTTCTATAGCAGTGTCGAGATCGTCCAGTGCTTCGTCATATCGTTCGAGCAGTCGGTATACATCTCCTCTTGTACGTAGTGCAAACGAATCGTGTGGTTTGATTTTTTGTGCTTTTTGTAAATCGGTCAACGATTCGTCGTATCGACCCAGTCGACAATACACAGCAGCGCGTATTCTAAACGCAAACGCGTTTTGTGGATCTAATTGCAAAGATCTATTGACGTCGGCTAATGCCTTGTCATAATGACCCAATTTCCGATATAGTTCTCCTCTGTCTCTTAGTATCAACGCATCGTCGGAATTTAGCCTCAACGCGTGATTCATGTCTTCTAATGCTTCATCGTATTTGCCCAATAGACCATATACAGATCCCCTATATCTTAGTGCAAATGCATTGTCTTCTTCTAGTTCCAACACTTTATTGAGATCCTCCAACACATTCTCGTATGCAGCAAGACGATAAAATACTGCACCTCTCTTTGTCAACGCAAAGATGTTTTTAGGGTCCAATTCCAAGGCAGCAGCAAAGTCATCAAGCGCATCCTCCAAATTGTCCATCAAATAGTACACTTCACCACGATCGCCCAATGCAATGACATCTTCTGGCTTTAATTCCAAGGCTTTGTTTAGGTCGTCGATAGCCTTTTCGTATTTTCCCATGCTGCAAAACACTTCTCCTCTAGTTCTCAGTGCAAACTGATCTTTAGGATCGATTTTCAAACACTTGTTCAAATCACTTAAAGCTTCACTGTGCTTTCCTACCATTCTATATACAGCACCTCTTCCCGCTAGAGTAAAACTGTCATTTGGTTTTATCTTGAGCGATTTAGTAAAATCTTCAAGTGCTTCGTTGTGTCTGTCCAACTCTTGATACAAGTCTCCTCGTTTCCCAAGCGCTTCTGTGCTGCGTGGATCCAGTTCTATTGCATGATCGAGACATTCGAGTGCGAGATCGAGATCATTGAGGGTAATGTAGCCGTCAGAGAGAGAAATGAGAAGCGAAATGTCATTTGGATTCTCGCGAAGCGCTTCTAGGGTGCGAGTGAGTGCCACGCGTTGATCTGATTTCGGGTCTGGTGAGTCGGCAATTGACGGTGTGGACGAGTCTGTAGACGTTGTGGTATCCTGTACGAAAACAAGTAGGATGGTATAACTAGTTTTAGTATAAACCAAAATAGGAGTTTTGCCGCAAAAACAGAGCTTTTTTATATATAGGCAATGAGAATTTCAGCGAATCGAACGTATTTTTGAATTCTTGAATTTGGGAATCGAAAATCGGGGATTGTGTTCTTTTGTTGAACAGAAAACTTGTATATGCAATACCGTTACCACGACTGTTTACTCTTTTGCCTAGCAAACGTTGTTCTAGTTTACATACTTCAAAACTGCTCAAATCATCAGCGGCAAACTCTTCGTTCGTTTGCTCTCCCGTCTTTTCATTTATTATTATTTCTTCAATTCCTTCGTCGGCAATCGTTATTGATTCTCTTTTAACCATAGTTTACTTGTTAAAGGTATAAAAGAGTAGAGGTTAATTATGTGCAATCATGCGTAATCCCTTTTGCATTGTAACAGGTATGTCATAATAGAACTTACGTTTTTCAATTAAATTGAACAAATTAAATCATCAATAAATTAGCGCGCAAAAGACCAATAATGAATACTTGAAACTCTTTCTCCAGTAACAAAATGTATAGAATGGAATATTTTACTCTTTATCAGTCACTCGGTTTATCCCAAAGCGAGAGCGAGATAGAGAGCACGTTGAGCAGAACCCCTTGGATGATTTCAATGTTAAAGTATGATTGGATAAATAAGGAGAGTGAAAGTTGTGGTGTTACATTTCATTTCCAGTTGAGGCAGGAAATGAGCCGATGCCGTGCAAAAAAAAAAAGACGATGATGACAGAAAGAGGAAATACTCGTGATGTGGATGTTGATATTTGTTACATCGAATTTGGAAATTGTTGCTATTATTATTACAATGATTGTTTGTCATTTTATTAATTTGTATTGGTTTCTATTTTTACTTTACATTCTTAAGCACGCATACATGGAACTGCAGCCTGTAACATTCGATCGTCCCTGATTATTTCGTTTCAGCGTTTCAAACACACACAACTTGGTTAATTATAATACCGCAAATAGACAAACTATCGATGCATTCATTGACTTGGCCATGGATCTATTTTTAGTATTAGCGACTGACATCACTTGCGATGAATGCATGACGTACGGTATGCCATTACTATGCAATGCTTGATGCACACCGATTGCTGACTGCAGACTGACAGGCAATGATTGAGGGCAGCTGATAATGTTGACAACAGAGACTCATTTTGTGGGGTACCTGTTAATGTTAAATGAAGAATGTAACTGGTTATAAAAACTGTTCTATTTTTAACATTGTAGTTGTGGATTCTATAGCGAAAAACGGTTTATTTTTACACTGATATGTATATGAGTTGCCAGCTTCTAGGTTTTTACTGTGCCAAAGTTAAAGTACCCTCTTCTTTCTAAATATGGTCTCCCATTCTGGAAACAACGCCATATCAGTTTTAAAAAGTCACTTGGCAAAATTGTTTACGCCATTCTTTTGCTGCCGGCTTGGCACAGGAGTCTATTACTGCATGCAATTAAAAATAAACCATTTTATTCAGATTTAATGTTTGGGAAATACTAACTAAATTAGTGAAATTGTCTACGATAATACACTGTTTCTTACGGTAAAGTAGTTAAAGAAAGGGTTATATAAACGTGTTGGTATTTGAAAGTGAAATTATAACATCAACTTACATAAATTGGATAAAGCTCAATCCAAGAAACTAGCTTTGAACATTGTATAATATTCTTACCACGTGTTGAATCTTTATAATGTTATTTGTTAGAAACTATTTTTATTTGTACCAAAGTTACTCGCTTCGATTAAAGCTGAAGCAAAAGTTATGTTGCCAGTTTAACTTTATTGTAATTACTTCTATTTTAAATGCTGATAATCAACAGTTTATCAATGTGCTGACTTTATTAGAATTATAAATTATATTAATATTACTATCCAAAAATAGTCTGTGTAAAAGACCCAACAAACTTTTAAAGACACATCGGGATTATATACCGCTTCTTTTCTAAATAAAATCTCTTACTAAAAAACTTTTTTTATGTAAGTTCACATTCGTATGCTATTCTTTCTTGTAGGACCTTACATCACGACCCGCTTATCCACAGTATGTTGGTAAGCAGTAGATTCTGTTCAGTTATAACGCACAAGAATAGATTATATCTTTGAAGTTCTGCACATTCTCTATCGGTAAGATATTGATTGTGTTACAAAAATTAGTAGCACACGTGCCATTTATTTTATTTCTTTATCATAATTACTGGTTATTAGCAAATAAACCATTTATTTTTTTTCGAAAGATTATATTTATATTAGAATCATGCTTGACTGACATAACGATAATGGGAAAACTCCAATATTTTTAAGCATACAATTACACTTTAGGAATCACTTTTATAATCACTTATTTGACAAAACCAGATTATCCAACCAAAGGAAACGAAAGCGATAGCCTCAAGTGTTTCAATATTAGTTAAGAATTGGCTAAGTATATTACATGGAAATGTGAAGCTATAGAACGAAAAGGTTACATGTAGTCTTATTTCTATTGGCCCCAAACGTGCTCCCCTTCGATACTACACCCTTCATTTTCAAGTGGATTTTTCTCGCATTTTGAGCATACTGTTGTACAGCCAAGAATTTTGCAATTATAATTACCAGAAAATATCATGTCACAACAACTATATTTTAGGATGCAACCAGCACTGCCTATGGGCTGCCTGCAGCATGTATATAGAGATGTACATCCCTCTGAGTCTGGCTGTCTGCCGCAGCATTTCCATTCATAAGTCAGTAGTGGATTGGCTATCCAAATAGTTCTAACATGATCCCGCCTTATGACCAGCTCTTGCTCAGCCGGGTGAAACTGTCCAATTCCTTCACTGTGAACAGACTTCAATAATGTAGGATGAATTAATTTTTTTCTTAAATGGCATTTTGGACTTGCTAACCTTGGATCGGTTTCTTCAGAACAATTTAAGCATTTAACTTTTTTAAACTCGAGCACAATCGGATGACGGATATGGCCTTCCATTAACGACCTGTACTTTGCAAGAATTCGGTCCGGTTCAGAACTTTTGAAAATATGCCTATCGCTTAATTTATTGTTTGTAAAGCCATCATAATTCTTTTTTCTGATTTCGCTGAGGCTTTCGAATAGACGGATTTCAAAATATCCAGTATTCTCAAGAAAACTCTTTTTTGCGTTTAATTCACGGTGGTGAGGTTTTTGTTCATGAATCTTTTTAGCTATTTCTTCGGCAGCAGCTCGAGGACCCTCTCCACGTTCGTCGCCTTTGGTAACAATGATAGTATTGTCCCATACATTGCCATTATGGTCTCGCGCAAAAGCTTCTATAGTTCTCGCTTGACTTTTAAGGGAGGTAGTTGCTCTACACCCGTCTGTCCTAACAAACCACAAAATGGTCGTTATCTTGGATATTTTTCTATCCTGCATCTCACGCAAGATTGAGCGTATGGTTTCATCGTCGAATTTTTCTTCGTCAATATCATTAAACCCAGGTGTATCGACGTAGAAACTACTGTTTCCAATATCATAAAATGTAGTTGACTCAGTCGAATGACCGACTTTTACACCTTTTGCGCCAAAAATAGTTGCAGTAAAACTTTTTCCGAGGCCCGTCTCTCCAATTGCAAGAATGCATTTATTTTTTGGTGACTAAATGATATAATATCATATCGATTAGTATTTGCTGTTAATTCTTAAATAAGGCGTCTCTTTAGGCTTTTAAAGAATTTTATGATAATACTTACGCTCGGCCAAACGTGCTTTCCTACGATACTACATCCTTTATGTTCAATCGAAATTTGTTCGCATCCCGAGCACACTGATATACAACCAGGACCTTTGCAGTTACCAGATTTGCATCCCTCACAGTTATCGAAGTCATGAGGTATCACGTCACAACAACTATATTTTTGCATGCAACCAGTGCTGCTTGCGGATTTCCTGCAGCATTTGTATTGAGGTTTACACCCGTCTTCGCCTAATTTTCTGTTGCAGCATTTCCACTTTCCATTTTCCAGTTTATATTCTTTTAGGTTTACTAGCCCTATAGTTACAACGCGTAGAGTCCAAGCTCCAACGCCATGATCCCATTCTTCGACTATTTTACTATCAACGGGTTGATCAGGGTGGAAATTTCCGACTCTATCTCTGTGAAAAGCCTCCAATAATTTAGGATGAATTAATTTTTCTTTTAAATGACATTTTGGACTTGCCAATCTTGGATCGGTTTCTTCAGAACAATTTAAGCATTTAATTTTTTTAAACTCGAGAACAATCGGATGGTCACTATGGCCTTCCATTAATGACCTGTACTTTGTAAAAATTCGGTGCGGTTCGGATTCTTTGAAAATACGAAATCTGTTTAATTCATCACTTTTAACATTGATGTAGTCCGATTGTAAGCTTTCATCGAGTCTTTCGAATAGACAAATCTCAAAGTTTCCAACATTGTTAAGGAAACTTTTTGCGTCTGGTTTACGGCAGCGATGTTTTTGTTCGTAAATCTCTTTAGCTACTGCTTCAGCAGCAGCACGAGGACCCTTTCCACGGTCGTTGCCTTTCGTAACAATGATAGCATTATCCCATACATTGCCATCATGGTCTCGTGCAAGAGCTTCTATAAATTTTGCTTGCTGTTTAAGGGAGGCAGTTTCTCTACACTCGTTTGTTACAAACCACAAAATGGTTGTTATATTGGATATTTTTCTATCCTGCATCTCACGCAAGATTGAGCGCACGGTTTCATCGTCGGTTTTTTCTTCGTTACTATCATTAAATCCAGGTGTATCGACGTAGAAACTCCCGTTTCCGATATCATAAAACGTAACTTCATCGGTCTCGGATTTAGTCGAATGACCGACTTTTACACCTTTTGCACCAAAAATAGTTGCAGTAAAACTTTTCCCAAGGCCCGTACCTCCGATTGCAAGAATGCGTTGGTTTGGTGGTAACTATATGATATAATATCATATCAATTAGTACTCGTTGTTAATTCTTTGAATAAGGCGTCTATTTAGACTTTTAAAGAATTTCTATGATAATACTTACGCTCGGCATTTTGAACTCGAGAACAATCGGATGACGGATATGGCCTTCCATTAACGACCTGTACTTTGCAAGAATTCGGTCCGGTTTAGAGCTCTTGAAAATATTAAGCTTGTCTAAGGCTTCAATCGGAAAAGTAGCATAAATGTCTTTTTTGCGTCCATCGAGACTTTCGAATAGAAAAATTTCAAAATTTCCAGTATTCTCAAGAAAACTCTTTTTTGCGTTTAATTCACGGCGGCGAGGTTTTTGTTCATAAATCTTTTTAGCTATTTCTTCGGCAGCAGCTCGAGGACCCTCTCCACGTTTGTCGTCCTTGGTAACAATGATAGTATTATCCCATACATTACCATTATGGTCTCGTGCAAAAGCTTCTATAGTTCTTGCTTGACTTTTAAGATAGGCACTTGCTTTACAGTCGTATTTAACAAACCACAAAATGGTCGTTATATTGGATATTTTTCTATCCTGCATCTCACGCAAGATTGAGCACACGGTTTCATCGTCGGATTTTTCTTCGTTACTATCATTAAAGCCAGGTGTATCGATGTAGAAACTCCCGTTTCCGATATCACAAAACGTAACTTTATCGGTTTCGGACTCTGTCGAATGACCGACTTTTACGCCTGTTGCGCCAAAAATAGTTGCAGTAAAACTTTTCCCGAGGCCCGTCTCTCCGATTGCAAGAATGCATTCATTTCGTGGTGACTATATGATATAGTTTCGATTAGTACTTGTATGTTTTGTTGTTTTTTTTGTTTTCTTTTTTGAATAAGACGTCTATGAAATTACGCTTACACTTACATTCAACATTTTAAAGGAGAAGGGTTTTCTAGCGGAATAGAGGTTGCAAAGTGTTTGACAACTTGTCGGTTTTCGATATGGCCCTTAAATGGTCTATTTATAACGTTAGTTTGTTATCTTTGATAGGTTTACATTGTCGAACAATGAACAACTACGTACTTTATAAAAAGATCCAGTCATCGATAAGGTGTGCATTGAATACTGTACATTGTTGAGTAAGTTTAACTGTTGCTAAACCTTATCTACTGTTTAGTTCACACTGCATCTAAGCAAACAATCGCATATTTTGATTCCCAAAGACTATCATGTTAATTTAGACTTACTAAACAAGATATCAAAGCCGATTTGATTTGGAAGGATTATCAACAAAAGCATGCCGTGTCACTCTCCTGCATTGCCAACATAATCTAAGCCCAATACAATAAGAAAACGTTTGTTTTTACTGAAAGGTGCTTTTTTTTTTCCCTTGCGTTTGTTTTGTGGGCGTAGTGACTGCATAATAATGAAACCATATACTGTTACACGGAAAACCCTGAAGGCAAGCGAATCGTAAACAATGGGGTCTAACACGATTGAGGCGAAATTTGACAAAAATAATAGGTCATTGATCAATTCAAAATTTTCAAGTTAGAAGTCAGCTTCCAAAACTTTGATTCATCTGATACTCCACGGTGTTATACGACAAATAAGCATGTTTCCGTAATCGGGACACTTACATCCTCCCACTCCACATTGGCCTTCTCCCACTCAAATAGCTACCATCATCTTATACTCTCATTAGAATTCTTCCATGTATGGCCTTCCTGTTGGCCACTTCTTTGTTTCACCTCTGACTCTTACTGTCATGTTAAAACTAGCTTTAGCGAGCCTGTCAACAGGATATCGTAGCTTGGAAATAAAGTCGCATTAATATCGTATGTATAAATCTATGAGTAATTATAAAAAGAATAGTTGAACAGAAAGTGATAATGCTTTGTTACAAAAATAAGAGAAAACGGAATTATAGCATGCCTATATATCGACCTAATTACAGGAAAGGAAACAATTATATCTTTTACATAAATTTCAAGTCAATTCAACTGCTATCAACTAATTAGGAATTTATTTGTTTACCAGACGCAGTGTGAAAAAAAAAATAGTTATAGTTTCAATGAATCAAACCTGATTGGTTTGCGCAAAACTGGCAAACTTTCTATAAATTACTCTTTTGGTCGCCCAAGAAAAGTAACTCCCAAAAAGCGCCGCCATATCGGGAAATTTTTAAAACACAATTATTTCACTACAGCAAGCGAACTTAAAGCAAAGTTGGAAGAAAATAACCCTGAACTTGAGGTTAGTGAACGGACTATACGTCGTGAGCTCAATAACCTCAATTTTTTTTCTGTTATTTCACGAAAAGTACCTCTTCTAACCCAACAAGCGAAAGACAATCGCTTGCTTGGACATGTAAACATGCGCGATACAATTGGCGGAAAGTTGTTTTTTCTGATGAAACAACTATTCAGATGTTCACCAATACCATTCACGCATGGTCCCGCAACGTAAAACCTGTCGCCCCTATGGTAAAGCATCCTTATAAAGTCCATGTTTGGGCAGCGATCAGCGCCAAGGGGAAAATTGGAATGCATTTATTTACCGAAAGCCTGGACCGTCATTTATACCGGAAAATCCTAAATGAACATTTATATAATAATGCAGATATGTTGCATGGTTGTAACTGGGTCTTCCAACAAGACAATAATCCGAAACACACTTCGCGTGATGTTCGAAGTGATTTGGAAGACCGCCTTCCGGGACGAGTCCTTCCTTGGCCTTTATACAGCCCTGATATGAATCCTATCGAAAACGTATGGGCTGTTTTGAAGAAAAAGGTTGAGAGAAAGGTTGAGTATATGGTAATAAAAAATAAAAAAATCCACAAGAAGAATTTCTTGATATAGTTCGACAGGAATGGCATGATCTTGATAATAATATATTACTTCAATGCATTGATAGCATGCGAGACCGGATTAAAGCTTGTATTGATGCTGAAGGAGGCCAAACAAATTATTGATCTAATAATAAATATGTAGCATTGGTGTTGGTTTTCTATTTAAAATAATAAATTTTTTGATTAATACTAAATTATGTCATAATGTCAAAAAAACTGTCCGCCATTCTTTTCGCCGGGGACTGTGCATATCTTTACTTGTATCGTAATTTGTCTATTGTTCGTAGTGGAATATAATGAAGCCGACAGAAAAGGCGTTTGCACATAAATAAAATCAACTGCATATAATCTTATGTAAAGTGTTTAATAAATAGCAAAGAATTGGGCTTTGTCTTCAATACTGCAATAAATATGTAGATTCATGTGAATTTGTGAGCTAACAATAAATGAATGCACCATTGATCAACTAGCATTATTGACTTTCATATTCGCAGTTGCAGTAAACCTAATCTTAAAGTAACATGAGAATGTAATTGGTAATTTTTGATACTACTACAGTATTAGATAAGATACACAATTGGTTAAACAGACGTAAACATTACGTAAAATAACTATTGCCTGAATCTAAGATTGACCCCCATTACAGCATTAACAGATTATTTGTTGTAGTAATGTTAATTTGAGAGTTCAATATCTCGCAACCGATTACGGAAACATGCTTATTTGTCGTATAACACCGTGGAGTATCATCTGAATCAAGGTTTGGAAGCTAAACTTGAAAATTTTGAACTGATTAATGACCTACTATTTTTGCTAAGTAATGTTGACTCGCCTCGATCGTGTTAGACCCCATTGTTTACGATTCGCTTACCTTCGTCAAGCTTCTGTGTAACAGTTATATGGTTTCATTGTTATGCAGTCACTACGCCCACAAAACAACGCAAGGAATGTCGACGAAAAAAAAAAGCACCTTTCAGTAAAAACAAACGTTTTCTTATGTATTGGGCTTAGACTATGTTGGCAATGCAGGAGAGTGACACGGCATATTAACATAATCAGTAACAATGCTTTTGTTGATTATCTTTCCAAATCAAATCGGCTTTGATATCTTGTTTAGTAAGTCTAAATTACATGATAGTCTTTGGGAATCAAAATATGCGATTGTTAGCTTAGATGCAGTGTGAACTAAACAGCAGATAAGGTTTAGTGAATCAAACGTAACTGGACAAAGATAACAAAGATATCCATGATAACCAGTGAGTAACAATATTGAGACTAATTGTCAACAGTTAAACTTACTCAACAATGTACAGTATTCAATGCACACCTTATCGATGACTGGATCTTTTTATAAAGTACGTAGTTGTTCATTGTTCGACAATGTAAACCTATCAAAGATAACAAACTAACGTTATAAATAGACCATTTAAGGGCCATATCGAAAACCGACAAGTTGTCAAACACTTTGCAACCTCTATTCCGCTAGAAAACCCTTCTCCTTTAAAATGTCGAATGTAAGTATAAGCGTAATTTCATAGACATCTTATTCGAAAAAGAAAAAACAACAAAACATACAAGTACTAATCGAGACTATACCCTATAAGTCACCACAAAAACGATGCATTCTTGCAATCGGAGAGACGGGCCTTGGAAAAAGTTTTACTGCAACTGTTTTTGGCGCAAAAGGTGTAAAAGTCGGTCATTCGACTGAGTCCGAAACCGATAAAGTTACGTTTTATGATATCGGAAACGGGAGTTTCTACGTCGATACACCTGGGTTTAATGATAGTGACGAAGAAAAATCCGACGATGAAACCGTGCGCTTGATTTTGCGTGAGATGCAGGATAGAAAAATATCCAAGATAACGACCATTTTGTGGTTTGTTAGGACAGACGGGTGTAGAGCAACTACCTCCCTTAAAAGTCAAGCGAGAACTATAGAAGCTTTTGCGCGAGACCATAATGGCAATGTATGGGACAATACTATCATTGTTACCAAAGGCGACGAACGTGGAGAGGGTCCTCGAGCTGCTGCCGAAGAAATAGCTAAAAAGATTCATGAACAAAAACCTCACCACCGTGAATTAAACGCAAAAAAGAGTTTTCTTGAGAATACTGGATATTTTGAAATCCGTCTATTCGAAAGCCTCAGCGAACGCAAAAAAGACATTTATGCTACTTTTCCGATTGAAACCTTAGACAAGCTTAATATTTTCAAAAGATCTGAACCGGAACGAATTCTTGCAAAGTACAGGTTGTTAATGGAAGGACATACCAACCATCCGATTGTTCTCGAGTTTAAAAAAGTTAAATGCTTAAATTGTTCCGAAGAAACCGATCCAAGGCTAGCAAGTCCAAAATGCCATTTGAAAATAATAAAAATTCACAAACCATGGAAGAATTATCACAGCAAAGAAATTGGACAGTTTCACTCGACTGAACTGGTCAAAGAGTGGGATCATAGCATTGGGGCTTGGACTGTTCGTGTTATAACTATTGGGATAGTAAATCCACAGACTTATGAATATGAATGTTGCGGCAGAAAGGTAGGCGAAAAAGGATGTGAATCCCGATATAAATGCTGCAGGCAACCCGAAGGCAGCACTGGTTGCACCCAATGGTATGATTGCTGTAACCAGACTCCTCATGACTGCGGTAACAATAAATGCGAACCTGATAATTGCAAAATTACTCCTGGTTGTATATCAGTGTGTGAGAGATGCAAGAAAATTCCGGGTACAAATGAAGGGTGTAGTACCGAAGGGAAGCACAATTGGGGTAGTGTACGTAGTACACGCAAAATGTTTTGGCCAGGATGGCATAATTAAGGGTTCTTATAAATTAAATACAATATTTGGTCATGATTTCAAATAAATAAACCAAATTCAGTTTAGTTTGTTTTGATTTGTAGTTGTTGAGGATATCTAATTATTACCGTATAGTAAATTTTCATCTTCATCACTTGATACACGGTCTTACCCTGATATGTCGATTATACCATTTCATTC